TCTTTCTCTCTCAAAAATAAATAAACATTAAAAAAATAAATAAACATTAAAAAATAAATTATTTTTTAAAGACAAATGTTCAGAAAAAACAATTTAACAAATAAATTATACCGGTGACAAATATGCTTATTAAAAGATGTTCAGCATCATTAATCATTAAGAAAATACAAATTAAGACCATAGTACAACTTGTCAGTGCACACCAATGAGTGTGGCTAAAATAAAAATTCTTACAATACCAAATGCTGAGGAGGATTCAGAGCAAATAGAACTCCTGTACAATGCTGGTAGGAAAGCAAAATAATAAAGCTACTTTGGAAAACTTTATAAGCAGTTTTTATATATCATCATACATGTATATTCTGCGATAGAGTTTAAAGGTAACAAAGAATGTTAGAGATATAACATGAATTTTAAAAAATAAATATTGATTAACAAAACAAGCTGCAGAAAAATAACATATGTTTGATAAAACTTATGTTTAAAATAAAGCTCAGCTAGGTTAGATTATGAGACATATCAGAGTTTTATGTCAGACTTGCTGACAGTGTAATCATTAAGAAAAAAAGAACATATTTCTTGAATATCTATAGAGTGGATTTATATAATTAAAAAAAAAAAGAAGTGCCAGATAAGGTTGTAACTAAGTACAGAATTGATTAGTTTTATAAAGTATAGAGACATCATAAATCTTATGAGTTGTATAGTATATACACCTGGTTTATAATGATCCAGAACCATTTCCATGAAATGTCATGTGTGAGCCATTGAAAGAGAACTATTATTTTTCTCCCCACAGTACATTTTAAAAATAAATATGAGACTCTTAAAAACTGAGAATAAACTGAGGGTTGGTTGGGGGTGGGAAGAAGGGGAAAGTGGGTGATGGGCATTGAGGAGGGCACCTGTTGGGATGAGCACTGGGTGTTGTTTGGAAACCAATTTGACAATAATTTTCATATTTAAAAAATAATAAATATGATACTGGGGCCCCTGGGTGGCTCAGTCCGTTAAGCTTCTGACTTCAGCTCAGGTCAGATCTCACAGTTTGTGGGTTGGAGATCCGCCTCAGGCTTTGTGCTGACAGCTAGGAGCCTGGAGCCTGGAGCCTGCTTTGGTTTCTATGTCTTTGTCTCTGTGCTTCCTCTGCTTGCTTCCTCTCTCTCTCTCTCTCTCTCTCTCTCAAAAATAAAAAAAAAAATTATAATAAATAAATAAGATATAGAAAATGCACAATACCCATTCACAAGTGTATATACCATATTTTTACATATTTTATATCTTATATACCATATATAGCATATACCATATATAGTATAGTATAATATATAGTATATTTAAATCTATATACATCTAAAGATCGTTAGAGTATACAAAAATTGAATGATGATTGTAAGCATTAGAGAGGGAGAAATGAATAGAATTTGGGCTAAAGAAAAAAGAGAATTATATTTTATTATATTATATATAATATATACCATATATAATATATAATTATATAATTATATAACATAATATAATATGTATTATATTATATTATAGCTTATTTCTACTTTTAAAGGCTTCAATAAAAATAAGTAAAGTTAATTTTGAACTGAGAGTGTTTAGTATTTCTAGTATTGCTACATATACTGTATTTTCAAATGTCATAAAAAATGATTGTAAAAAGAATTTTTAATGACTGATTTGGCAAACTAATCCCAGATTACTAGGAGATTAGAAAAAGGCTGAAGGATATAAAGTGTTAATATTTTGCTGCAAGCCTTGGGGAATAAGAAGTGGATTATTTTATTCAGATGAATTTTCTGAATTTTACACAATGTCCAGGCTGTGCATGCAATTCTTTTGCAATCAGTGGAAGAATTTTAAAAAGAGAGGAAAAAGTAAAAAAGAAGGAAAAAAAAATCCTCAAGATGTAAAGTCTGGTAATTATCTCGAGATTTGGTCAAGATGGCAGACTGAGGTGCTTTTCTCTCCTCCTACTTCAAATTGCTTTTAATGACAGGAAAGGAAGGTTTCTGTATTATAAATAATAACTCTAGATGGGCATGGGGAAAAGAAAAGGCAGATTCCTCGAGGATAGAAAGCAGATGGGGCAAGGGCACTGAGGTGTGGGCTGTGGGGAGGAGACTGGGAGCCTCCCCGACCTGAAGAGTGGGTGCCAAGGGAGGGAGGGGTTGTGGTCCCGGAGGCTCCTTGCTTTGGAAAGGGGCGGGGCTGGGAGCCAAGGAGAGCCTCCCAGGCCTAGGGCAGCGGTTGTTGTGAGACTTGGGGATGGGGTGGGGGAGCGCGGTGTTTGGCAGGAAGGGGAGGCCTCTCTCCTGGCAGGAAGCTGCGCTACGGGAAGAGGGAGGAGACTGCGGCGGCGGCTGTGTCTGGTGGGAGCCAGATGTGGCAGTGCTGCTGCCGCCAACAGTGAGACTGAGAACCCATGAGCCGAGTGCTGGGGAGACCGCCTCCATCTCCGCCTTCCTCACAGCGCTCCAAGATACCTTCTTGCCTACGGATCCTCCCCTCTCAGCTCCTGCAAGCACTCACCTCATCGTCTGCTGATCCTCTTTCGCCGCAGGTTCACAGCGGAGGCAGCGCGGCAAGGTGTCCCATTTGGGCACGTGAGGCCCGTGATCCCCGGACGTGGGGAGGTGGGCACTGGACTAGAAAACCGGAGGATTGGGGTTGGTGGGTGTCCAGCAAGAAAATTGGGGTCGGTATTCTGATGAGTTATGAGGGAGACTAAAAAGGGTGATTTGGGGACTGTGTGTGTGTGTGTGTGTGTGTGTGTGTGTGTGTGTGTGTGTGTTTGGGGGAATTGAAGAGCACCTGGATGATGTACAAAGGTAGCCAGGCATGAAAAGACGTTTGTTATAGGCGCTCAACAGGAAAATGGGGATGACCAGAAAGAGACATGAAGGAGAGGTGAACACCAGGCAGAAGGCATGAGGATGGGAGACAAAAGGGATTAAGAATAGATGGCCATGGGCAGGGGGCAGGCGGAGTGACATTAGTAGAAATGGAGTAATGAGGTGGAGGCTAAGAAATGGTGAATAGCCGTGTTTGGTGTGGGGGTCCTAGGATGGCAACAGAGGATCAGGCATTATGCAAAAGAGCCTGCTCCCTCTATCTGGGGCCTCAACCACCAGGACCACAACATTCACTGCCTCTCTAATGCTGCAGCACAGCCAAAGAAGCCTGGAGGGAGGGCACTGAAGACAAACATGCAATAGTCTTTTGATATCCAGTATTCCAGCTGGACACATTAGAATGATTTGGGCTGAATGTACCTGGTGCCCAAGAAGTTTGAAATGCAAAGGGAAAAAATCTCACACTATAATACACCAAATATGTCTCCCTAGCCCCTTTCCTCCTCCTGCAGGCATGAAGACCCTTCACAAAAAGGCAGCTGCAGATCAGCAAACCAGGGAAACTGATGATCACCACATTGGATCTGCAAATATGAGGAAGAAAAAGACCTGTCAAAAGAAGCAGAGGGGCAGACCTTCATCCCAGCTCCGAAGGAACATAGTGGGCTGCAGAATTTCACATGGATGGAAAGAAGGCAATGAGCCCATCACGCAGTGGAAAGGAACCGTTCTGGATCAGGTGCCTATCAATCCCTCTCTTTACCTGGTCAAATATGATGGAATTGACTGTGTCTATGGACTGGAACTTCACAGAGATGAAAGGATTTTAAAGCTTAAAATCCTTCCTGATAAGGTGCCATGTTCTCGAGTCACAGATGTGTGCCTTGCAAATACCATAATTGGGAAAGCTGTGGAACATATGTTTGAGGGTGAGCATGGTTCCAAAGATGAATGGAGGGGAATGGTCTTAGCTCAAGCACCTATCATGAAAGCCTGGTTTTATATTACCTATGAGAAGGATCCTGTCTTATACATGTACCAGCTTCTAGATGATTACAGAGAAGGAGACCTCCGTATCATGTCAGAGTCCAGTGAGTCTCCTCCAACAGAGAGGGAGCCAGAAGGAGTTATAGATGGCCTCATAGGTAAACATGTGGAATATACCAAAGAAGATGGCTCCAAAAGGACAGGCAAGGTCATTCACCAAGTGGAAGCCAAACCCTCTGTGTATTTCATCA